GAAGTCGTCCATCTGTGTCAAAACAGAGGGAAAAAATCAAGATATGAAGCATACATCCTCTTGTCGGTAGTATCCCCAATTTCAAGTTCACTGGGATATATGCTTTCATATACAGAAATGTGCTCCTTACGCAGAAACTATTCCAACAGAGTTATGAGGGGGAAAGATTAAAAATGACACTCCGTAAATTTTATGGACACCATCACAAATTGGTTGATCTATACGATGTGTCTGTGTCTAAACTAACCAACGACATTTTTATCACGTCGTAGATTGTGGTTTACCATCCACGTCGTATGTCTGCTAAGTACCGAACGTGACCTATTCTCGAATATGACTGGTTTGCCGAGTGTGAATTCGCATTGCTATACGACGTGTCTCGGTATTTATACATCCAACATTCATGTATTTAGTTATGATGTTTCTTTTGTAAGTACGGTTGGATATTGTGTTATGTCTTATCGTTTGTGGTTTGAATTCTGTATTTTCGGTACATTTCACATATGTCTTATTTGTCAGTATAGTCGAGTTTGTTTCCATTTTCCATGGATAAAGTATTCTGTTTGTCCAAATAATTATGACGTCCTCACAGCGTTAATTAAGAAATAATTCTTTCATGCAATGCTCTAAGCTCATTTTAACATGGGTAGGCATTATACCCATGACATTTGTGTGTGTGTCTGACGAATATCATGGAAAAAGTCTGCATATAAACTATATAGGCATCTTATTTGGGTCTCTTTATTTGATACAAGTCTTCTTATTAACCTATTAAAACTTTACAATGTATATCAAAATTAAGGATCAAAACCGAACGTATGGTAAAGCAGGTTGTATTCTGGATATAATATCCTTGTTTCTGTCGACTCTATTCTGCATGAGTAGAATCACATTGTTTCTGTCGACTCTATTCTGCATGAGTAGAATCACATTGTTTCTGTCGACTCTATTCTGCATGAGTAGAATCACATTGTTTCTGTTGACTCTATTCTGCATGAGTAGAATCTCATTGTTCCTGTTCAACAATTAACAAGTGTCTATTCAATATGTCAAACTCTTTATTAAAGATTTTTAAAAAACTGAGCAGATATGAGATCTGCTATCAACACCAAATTTGGCTAATGACAAAAGACTACCACCGACCCATAGTCATGATAGTTCAAATGTCTTTTTGTTACTTTCAGATGGTCAGAAGAAGCTATGTATTTTCTAACATTTTCTTGAATATATTTTATGTATGTAGTTTTTTATACATACTAAAAGGAAGGTCATGCCATTGTAAATTACTTGGACGTGACGAACATCGGAAAATCAACCATTAAAAGTATTCAAAATAAAATACCATCCAGCAACTGTTCATTCTCTGAGGATAGCCTATCTGTTTGGTAAGATTATTGAATTGGACCAGGTGTAATACTATTACAAAACATATAACAAATCTATGCTGTTAATGTGGAGATATTTATTTTTCGAGTCATAAATTGTTGTGGTTTGAGGCAAAAAAGTTAATCTGAAGGTTTTTATTATGTTGTTTCGTCATTTGGTCAAATGAAATTAAATTTAAAAAAAAATAAAATTTGCTTGATTAATTCAATTTGTGGTTTTTCCTTAGGGATACTAGACATACAGGAACAATGGTATTGAGTTAAATGAATGCTGACTTAGTACAACTCGTACTCGTACCATTAGATATTTGAATGAACAAGTCAAAATATACACAACAAGATATTGAAAGATAATAATCCAAAAGATCTTGAATTTTTAAGGGTTAAAATCAATGCATTCTGTTTGAAATCAAATTTGATAATCTAAATTTTGTTTGTTTATCATTGATTATTCATCGATAGTCATTCACTAGTCAAAGTGAATAAAAAAAAAACAGTTCTTAAAAGGAAAATGCAAACATTATAAGAGCAAATGATAACTTGTATTATTTATCCAATTTTTTATTTTTGATTTCTCGGGAAAGGTTTTCAAATAATATTTTCAAAAAAGCAACATTCAACTCTTGTAAATGGTAGATGTAAAACAGATCATGCAAATGGACAACAACTAATGGATTTACCAATAATATGTTTTGGCTGATAAATGCTCATCTAGGTTTCATAAAACGTGTTGTTTCTATAAATGGACCTTACTTTTGAAAAAATAATAACGAATTCAATGCACATTCACATTAGTTGTTTGAAAAGAAATTGCACGTGCCGTTACTTTAAGATACTTAATTTACACAACCTGAAGTTTTGCAAAATTGCTTTACCTCCTTTTATTCCGGATCATCAGAAACACTCGGTTTTTGATTTAAATTATATGTTCGATAGTTTTCTGACACAGTCATGTAAAATGAAGAAACATGTATGCAGAAAAAACAGAAAGTGTTGTTCAGAAATCTTTAGAACCGTTACGTTCACTTGTCTGAGGGAAACACCATCCCAGTCAGGATTCTGAACCTGGTCATTAAGGTTCCGAAACAAGATCTTAATGCAGATCTGCCATATTCAACAGAGCAAGGCCTATCAAGAAGATAGATGTTTCAAGTGCTATATACAACACAAGGAGCTCGAAATATGTCTTATACTTGGTTAATGTACATGTATGGCAAGAAAGAAAACAACTACTAGCATGAAAATATGGATTGATACTGAAATTTGCTGTCACAAAATTTTGGAAATTATTTTAAATTAAGGAATTTATCTCCCTTATGCAAAGCTCTGATTCCCTGCCAGGCTTTTTTCGTCCATGTTGGTTTTATAAGCTCTCAATCTTTTAATAAGTTTTGGATTTTCAAATATTTTGCCCTATGAAGAGACACTTATTGTGGAAATGCACATCTGGGGCAGAAAATTTGTACCGAAGAAAGATATCAGGTAGGGCATGTACATGTGTATAAAATGAACGCAATCTATGTTGAGCTGGTAAATTATTATGTCATGGATTTCGTTACCTCAAATTACTAATAACATGTACTAAATTCATTCATAGATACTAAAAGTTTGGCTGAAGAAACCTTATCACAAACGGGATATCACAGATGTTTGTTATAGCCCGTTTTAGATACGATCATTTTAAAGGTTATCAAATTAACATTATAGTAAGACCTTTGAAAATTGTCTTTATAGCTACAAACAAAGATTTTTCTCGGAATGCTTATGACGTCTCATATATTGAAACCATTATATGTGAACTGATAGTTATATTGGTCTTGGAAAACATGATTTATTTATAAAGTGTTATCTTTCAGTATATATATATCTGCTAGTTCTCTTAGATCGGTGGTTTTTGTATTTAATCGTTGTGTTAAGTTTTTTCGTTGTGCTTTGTGTCGATCTGATAAGTTTAGCCCTATCCAACTGATTTTTGCAGTTATTTCTTATGTTAACCCCGCCACATTCTGTATGTGCCTGTCCTAAATTAGGAACCTGTAGTTTAATGGTTGTCGCTGTTTGCCGTTTCATATTTGTTTTTCGTTTCTTGTTTTCGCATAAATTAGGCTTTTTTCTCTTGTTTTGTTTCACATTTTGTCATGATTGGACCTTTTATAGCTTACTATACGGTATGGGTTTTGCTCATTGTTGAAGGTTGTACGGTGACATCTTGTTGTTTACACCCTCGTCCTTTGCACTTGGTTTGGTTATTGTCTCATTGACAACCACATCTCCTTAATACTTAGAAATCTGGTATACTAGCAAATATGTTGGTATTCCTATTTTTTATTTCTGCCTAAGACGGACAGTATGTTTACATGTGTTAATTTAAAGTGAGAAAAGTGGAAAGCCTGTTGTCAAGTATTTTATAAACATACAGACGATGTAAGAAATAGGGCAGTGCTATACGTTCAAAGGTTTTAACAGGCCTACCTTTAAAAACAATGATGTTCTCATTTCCGTTAAAATTTTTGACAGTCACTACCACCCATTGCATACATGTAAAACGTAAAATGTCATGAGAACCCCCCACCCATTTGGAAAATTCTATTGAAAAATCAAGACTGCTACTACCAATATTCACTCATACAGCTTGAGTATCATGACTTTTTGTCAGAATATACGTGTGTTTGTTATTTTGTCAGAATATACGTGTGTTTATTTATTTTGTCAGAATATACGTGTGTTTGTTATTTTATATTGCAATGTTTTGTTTTGTTTCTACCGGTAAAAACTCATACAACATAACAGCTTATAATTTGGTATGTCTACAAAAGACTCGTCAGTGGCGCGCTAATAAAGATGGTTGGAGAAAATTCTTCGGGTTTCGAATTATTCGAACTTTTTTTTTGTAAACAGTCAATTCATAAAAATGACTAGTAACAGACTTGTCTATCATTCGTCATAGAAATCTGTTTTTTCATTTTCGGACCAACGGTTTATTAATTTGGTGATATATTTACAAATAAGCTATTGTTTAGTGTCTAATGACTCGAAATGACTCATCAACGTATGTTAACAGGAGTAACATGGCGAGTGTTAATGGTTGAACATGAACTTCTAATCCTTCCGGAGCACCTGGAACCCCGCTTTTTGATTGGGTTTGTGTGCTCAATAGTTTTCTTTATAGAGTTTTGTGGACTTCTATTGGTTTTTTCCTTTTTCTTTTGGACATGGTGTTGTTTCTTTTTTTTCTGACTTATGGATTTTTATTGCTCTCTTTGTATTTTCTTCCTGCAAAATCAATTTCGACCAGACATATGATAAACTACGTCCAATCTCAATGCTTAAATTGCTGTAATGTTTTCTAATGTTATCTTATGTTATCAAGATATATTCTATTCGTGTATTATTTTTTTTAATCTAGTTTTAGCATATCGTTGTTATTATTTATTCATATATATGTATAGAGTATAAAACGATGTATGTGAATGTTCTGGACCAAAGCTTCGAGGTCTATATGTCTGAATAGTGATATCTCTAATATATATTCTTTGTTTTCATTGTTGTATTTTTGTTGTACATATTTTAATTCAAATCATGTTACTGACATTGACAGAGAAATATGACTCACTATAAGATTTTTTTGCTTTAATTTGTCTCCATAAAAATTGTTAAAGTATACAATGACAACTGACAGTGACATAAAACTATGAATCCTGAGTACTGTCTTCAATGTGTTTCTTATAATAAATTAAAACAGACTATATGCTCACATTGCAAAAAACGGAAATCTTTACGTATTCTAAAATAATTTCACACACCTAAATTGTACGATTTATCTCAAAGTCGATTTCGAGTTGAGATAATGCAATATATTTTATCTTAGAGATTCCTTACTTCTTCATATACATTTTCAATATTAAAGTTTATATAAAGGGAGTGTTTGTTCATTTGGATATAAATATACTTTAAATCAATTCATTTATTTATCTATCTATTATTTTTTCAGGACAAGTAAATCAATGCTTTATATAAGACTATTACCAAATTTACCCCAAAAAACTGTAATAAGTACATAAATATCGTATTAGTCTGGCAATACTTCCAAATCATATTCATTAAAAATAGGAAGAACTATGGACGGAAGAAAATTGAATTAACTTGATCCTGTTAATTTGTTCTTATTTTTCTTCAATTAAGTTGTCTTGGTGTGAAAGAATTATATAATAAAATCAAAGTAATAAAGAAAACACATAATGAAAAAGCTTTATATTTGAAGATTACTGGGACTATCTTTGCTTAACATATTGAAGTTAAGGTCAATCACAACCACTTTTCAAATCAAAATATAACAATGTCAACACTGTCTTTTTGTTTGACAATTGAGACATTGTTTATGTAACTTCTATTTAAATTCAAATAGGTATTCAACAAATCTACTGTAAATCAAAACGGACTAGATTGGCGTTCATTTAACTGTAGATGTAAAAAGCAAATATACATATTCATTGCACTGTGTATGAAAATTGGCCATACATTACGATCATAATAAAAATAACATTAATAATACACGTAAAAATGACTAGACACACTTTTTAGCAAGACTAGAGGACAAAATTTCAACAAAATATACATAATATAAATATAAACATAAAAATACATTAGGAGTATTTGTTCAAACAATATCACAATAATAAATTTGAGTGAAAATGTCTCAAGAAGTCCGACACAGTTAGCACTGATCTTCAATATTCATTCAGATATAATTATAAATATGGTTTAAAAATTCATACATCAGCATAGAATGCTTTAAATATGTGTATTTACATGCATATGTTCATAAAAATGGACTATATAATGAGACATTTGATTACAGTTGCACTGTTTCTGAGCAAATTTTGTTATATCATTTTAAGGCAATTTGCTTCGTAGACACCTTTTCACCTTCCAAACCGTTGACGGTAACTCCACGTTTGCCATTTGTAGAATCAGTATTAAGCGAAACTCACTCCGACTTAACAAAAACTTGTCCCTCTTATGCTGACCAACCACTGAAGTCTAAATGTCTGCTTACTTTGCAGCTGAAATTATCGAACTACCATAAGTTTGTCCATTACAAGTAGGTAGAGCAAAAGGATTTACTGCAGAAAACGGAGATCCTACTATGCCGCTCATTCCTGTAATCAAATAAAAAACTTTGAAAATAAAAATGTACTATAGTTTAACTGTAATAACAAATAAATGTTTAGTCTTGATAAAAATCAACAAAAACAAATGTGTGTTAAGGTCATACAATAGCTAATGTTTATGAGAGGTTGAAAAAGAAGATATAAAGAGGAACAGTTTTCATTATATTTTTCTTGCTTCATGCAAAAAAGAAACAAGGAACAGTTTTCATTATATTTGTCTAGCTTCATGCAAAAGAGAAACGGGAAACACGCAGCCAATATGTTCAGAACACATAGTGATGGAAACTGTAAACATAAAAATATTTAAGATAACGTGTCATCTGATTTGTTACCTAATGAATAAATAAATATGGTATACTTTGTTCATTAATGAGTGCAGATGTACTGAAGAAAAAAAAGATTTATAACTAAATATACTAACATTTATCATTGTCTGGGCCCACCCACTGGGCAGAGTACTTGCCATAGGTGGGCTATAACCAGAACCTGGTCTCATCACTGGGGCAAATGCACTTTTCTGTTTCACCGCGTGGACCATATTGGCTGGTGAGAATGAGAATATTCCACTTCCGCCATGAGAGTTAGAGTGGGGCAGGGAGGGTGATTGTGAGGGTACAACTGTGGAAAACAAAAAGAAAACAGTTAAAAGAGGATAGGACAAAAACTAAAACACTACAGATAAACATAAACTTACAGATGACACAACAGTTAAACACAACCTCTGGTACCTAGAAAAATGGTTTTCCGCTCAGAACCTTTTAACATTATGCTTTAATTTAAAACTTTTAGCCATGAAGTTACGATGAACTTGATTAAGAAAAATCTGCATATGCGTTAAAGGTTTATAACCTTTCGATATAACTATATAGCTTGATTTTGAAACCATTTTTATAGTTTTCTACAATCAGAGATGTATCAGCAGTATAGTACTTCTATTCTTTGACCTATACAGCTTCTTATTGCCCCCTTGGTACCTCCATACTTTTTAAAAATAAGATATAAAAACAACGCTAAAGTTGCTTTCTTTAAAGAACAACATCAAGTCAATTAACAGTCTATAGCAGCTCGTTCCTTCCTTCCTTCTTTGTCCCGACCAACACTTGATTGACAATTTATTAGAGCCTACCATTTGACAAAATATTAGGATTTGATGAGATTTTTTATACTTTCCATAGTGTGAAGTTAGTGACAATGTATCGACCCCTAACACAATATTTAACCTAAAGTCATAAATACAGTTTCCGTATTAGTTAATGACCAATGTCATCACGATTCCCTAATGATTTCTCTCTAACTAACAAACTTGTTTGCTAGCTAATAAAACACAAAACACAAGGGATCCTCTCCATTCTCTAATACAATAGTTAATACATTTGTATGCTACAGATAGTGTCGGTATTCAAACCAAATAAATTCTAAATAATTTTGTTTGAACAACACTGATAATATTGACCCAAGATTCTTAATTTATTGAAATGGCAATTTACATTTATTGTTATAATTCAGTCAAGTCTGTTTTACAGGTTTCTTCTATAGAAAGTCTTCGTCCAAGAACAATATTAGCAATAAATACTACAGCTGATAATGTTGCTTATGTATTTTGAACGATTGAAGCGGTATTCCATTGTTTAGAATTTTCAATAATTTTATAATCTGTAATGGCAAATGTCATCTTGTAAAAACGGAGTCATTTATATTTGACATTTTTTATTTTCCATACATTTTCATTAAATTATGAGTAAAATGTCCTGCAGGTTTTGCCCTGGTGTAGGCAGTCGATAAACATGATTTAACTATTAAAATTATTTGTCATCCATGGAACAGGTATACATTAACACAATTCTGCGCAACGAGAATGAGGATCAAAAAGACGAATGGGTAGCCACTTGAATCTATATATTTATTTTATCTTTCAGCTGGACACAGGAGGTCGTTTTTTTTAGTTTCTGCTATAATATTTTTTCTTTTGACCTAACAATAAGTGTATATATATTTCAGAAAAATAATGCCAAAATATGTAGATTTTAATTCTCGCAGTCATGATATAAGCCATGATATAAGACACCATTCATATCTCTTTAGTTTAATACAAAATGGTTTTTTTCCAAATTATACTAATGCAGCATACCATTTTAATTTTAAGTGGTTTAATTTTATCAATAAGGGAAAAAAATAATTTCAGTCATCTATGTAAATAATTCCCTGCTTGCAACGTCTCTGTAGCAATTTTACTCTGTTACATTCTATTGGCTACATGTATTTGCCTTGTATACTATTTACATAATTGTGAGAAAAAAAATATATTTTGCCTTTTTTGGGACAAATATTTAAAATGATTCATTCCAATTCCGTTACAATTTGTACCGAAATGTACAATTTTATCAGAGTTTTTCAAAACCCTGCACACTGAAAATATGTTTTGTTCTTAGGAAGAAAAGGTACCTACCCATATTACCTAATCCCCCAGTAGGACCATGGTAACCATTCATGGCAGTAGATCCATAACTACTACCATTACTATGTGGTGTTGAGCCGTTTGATGTATAACCTCTGGGTGAAACACTAGAAGACTGTCCTCGTGAATAACCTGCAAGAAAATAATATAGGGTCAAATGTTTGGTCGCCAGATAATTACATTAACGGTACACATGTTTCTGCACCAGATGCGCATTTCGATAAAGTCTCTTCAGTGATGCTCGAGGCCAAAATATTTGAAAATCCAAAACAAAACAAAAAGAAAATACTGACTAATTTGATTGATGATTGCTTAGCGTCGTCCCGATAAGATCAAAGATAGTAATGGATGTGCATGTTTACTTAAGTTCCACTTGTATTCGCTTCTTCCATACTACCTTTAGTCGATTTCAGAGAGAAGAATATGTGCAATATAAGGAACATGTTATAAGTAGCAAATTTTGAAAAAAAGGGCTCACCTTCTTCCCATTGACTTCCGGGATCTTGAACACTGACTGCTAACTGGCCAGTATAAGTGTTAAAACTAGACATTGGTGAACTATTGTTGATCGCTGGAGATCTTGGAGGTGGTAGTATCTGGTTAGGATTTCTAGGCATGCTATATAAAGCTTCAGCCAAGTCAGCCGCACGTTTTAGCACTATTTCCTGAAATAAATAAAATCATAAGCTTTTCAATATACTGCTTGATCAAAATAACCATGGTAACATATAAACAGGTTTTATATATAATTTGTAAAATAAATTATTTTTATATTGTTTCAGTACTTACTTATTAAAGACATGCTTTCCTTGTATTTTTTTTTTATAAAATATTTCAGTTAGGCAAACTTGTACTTGTATTTGACATCTCAAGTTCCTTTCTTCCGAAATGTAATGGTCTTGCTTTCATAAACGTCGGGCCGGAAAAATGATGTTCCATCCAACAACATGCATATTGTCTCTTTGATATGTAAAATGAACACAAAGTCATCATACCAATATCATATAAAGGGGATACCAATAAATAGAGTGAAATGTATGGGTTATATATAAAAATTAGAAAAATACAGAAAAAAATATATACGACTATCTGTATGCGTGAAACATTCTATTGCATAATTTTCGTAAAGTTTTATTGATACTTTCAGAAGATTCGAATATCATCGAATCTGTTTTCAGGGACATCAACTACGGACAAACTTCAAAGGAATCATTGTAAGAGCAATGGATGAATGTGTGTATGGTGGACACATAAAGTATAATAAAAAACTAATATATCAAATGTAAAATGTCATCATCATGACAAATATCTGCGTGTAGTTTTATCAATAATCATGTAACATAATAAATCGCCAGAATCCAGAATGCTCACAATACCATGTCTATAAATAGTTAATAGGGTCCCATTATAAAGATGGGACGCTGATAAACGACACTTTAATGACACGTGCAAAATTGAGTTTAAATAGAATAACCAATTAAATTAATTAATAATTGATTATTAGCTTATGGAATACACCATATATGTCTACTGCCAACTTAGCGATTCTGCATAATGTAATTAGGTTACTACAGAAGCAATTGTATCGGCCTTTTAAGATATAAAATATCACAGCAACACAAAGATGATTGCAAGCTGCTGTAGAAAAACTCACTTTAGGCAATCTTTCTGGGTCGCCCGGATGTCTCGGTACAAGTTTCATCAATCGCTGGAAGCCATAGTCAATTGTAGGTTCCGTCAAAGCTGCAAGAAATAACAAAAATGAACAATACACTCATGTTTGACTTAAAACGATTTCTCATTAAATGTTCCCCAAAAATATAAAAAGAATGTTGCAAACAACCTTTGCATATTCAACTGTCTTAAACATTGCTGAGGATGCAAGCCAATTCAGAAATCCCATAATTTGCAAAATAAAAGGATAAGAATTATTTACATTATATAAGTATTTCCTTATTGCGACTCCTATGAAGAATCAATTGATAATAAAGTACGTAGACTGTTACAGTATCGTATTTTGGTATTTTTATTTGTTTTGATCGTTATGAATTTGATCCAATACTATTGTAATGCCATCCATCAAACACGAAGAAAACAAATGCTCTTTCAATCGCACAATCAAATTCATATTCGATTGAAAATATGTTCCATTTTCGCTTGAAAGATAATTATGGCTTTTAGCACCTCCAAACACGGGCAGATAAATGGGACATTGATAGGAATCTACTCACAGTATTACACGAAATCACGATGACACACTAGATTGCATGATTAAAATACAGAGGGATTATTTGGCTAGACCGGTAATACATGTCCATGTTATTGGAGAACATGTTCTTTAAGCTAAATCACAAAGGCGTTAAAACCTTCTAGTAAACCCATTATCGTTTCCATTTTTCAAGGAGTCGGTTTACCCCATTTTTACCGTTAATACGAAACTTAGGTTGCGTTTACGAATGACTTTAGGAATTGGGGGTATGTCAATTTGATGGATGACTTTTACACCAGTAAAAATTCACATGTCATTTAGAAATGGAATATTTTATTCCACATGACAATAAATTAATAAACCATATGGTGATCGGACGATCGAAGTCTAATATTCTTGATATACCAATCATTGGAAGATGTCGCTCCAAATGTGCTGATGAGCTGTTCACACCTAATGACAGTTAACTTTTACGTCGGAAAAACGATAAATGTGTAAAATCTCCTTATTAAAGAGTTTCTTGAAAACAATATTTCAAATCTTCACTTTTAATCAGAGTATTAGACTCATGCTTAAAGGAGAAACACACGTGTAATCTTTTCCTTTGGCTAGAACTAATGTACAAATGCTTTTAAAAGTTGATGAAAATCCATATATCCTATATAATGGCGATCAGATACGAATGCTTTACAACAATTGCACATTTTCACAATCAATTAGGATAAAGATTCTTCGCGACAAAGCTGTTGTATTTATTGAAAAATGAAAATAATTTTTTTACATTGTGCTTCAAAAAACTGTATATTTGAGATTACAGTTTATTGAAATGTGCATGTATTACCAATTTGTAAAGCCTTGTATCATTTTTCGTTCTAATGTTTTAATTTATTAAACTATATATGAATAAAAGGAGATGTGAGGTATTCAAATATGTTTGAGAGTTTGTTACACCAGTATATTTGAATACTTATGTAAGTACAGTGCAGTTAAGATTCTTTTGCACCATTTTGTATTATGATTTAGGTAATGGGTATTATTTATGAACTGTATAAACAAATTCAGGTTGTAGTTATTATTACCTGTATAAACAAATCTACCAGGGGCTCCTTTACAGAACTGTTTTGATTTATACGACAACGTAACTTCCACGACCCCCGGAATATGACGGGGAGGTGTTTGTACCCGTATCGCATGTGATGTTATCAACTGAAAAACAAAAACAAAAATAAATAAATCTCAAATATATACAGCACTTATAATCATTCTAATTTTTTAAGAATAACCTTTGCTGAATTATATATAATTTGAATAAATCATATTCACCACTTACTGGAATAAATATCAACTACAAAAACAAACTACAACAAAGCAGAAAAATAAAAGAACTTTTTTGTTTTAATTATGATATATTTACTAGTATTTAAAGGACATAACAGTGTTGGTCCATTGATGTAAGCCAAACCTAAGTTATGGTCAAATCTACTACTACAATATCTTGTGAAAAGCAATGACATGAGGAAAGTATACAAAGAACTGTAAAGTATACACAGTTAAATCCAAATCGAGTTTAAAGGATTGGGAACAATAGGGAAAGTAAATCAATATTTTAAAAGTTCCTACCTCGCTCCAAACAAGCATTGTACCAAAAACCACCTGTAAACCGTCAAAAAAGTTGTCCCCTATGATTATGACCGTTGTACCACCTGACGTCCACCCCTCACTCGGGCAGATAGCCTTTATACAAGGTGTAGCTGGAAAAAGAAATCAAATGAATAGTTTTTTTTTCACAGTATTGTAGTACAACTAAAACGAATAACATTAAAAAGCAAACTTTCACATTTACAGAAAAAATGACGAAGTATAAGCAGTGAGAGAAAGACAAGTATGAACAAAATAAAAAGTGCACAAGTACAAAATGGAAGAAAGTGCAAATAAAAAGTAATTATACAGGTTATCTAATCAATTTATAACATAATAATGATCATCAAAATATTGTAAACAGCTAATATGTTTTGGTACTAATAAACTTTTACTTACTAAGCATACCCGAGTCCCGTGGGTAACGTGAAAATGCCCTGGTGGAGTAAGGGTCGGCCAGTAACCAGGTATCTAAATAAGATGGGTAATTTGTAAGAATATATAAATAGTTCTATAATTCTGATAATGATAAACCAACACATTACTCAAACAACTTCATTTTTCGTTTTGCTTTTTATTTAGAACAAATGATTTTCTGAGACATTTATTTTTTCCATCTTGAGGATAAAATCTTAAAGATGAAAATTATTTTCGAAAGTTGATTATAAATACAGTTTTGAAGAAAGTGGCTATTGTCTTTATTTGTGATAAAACGTTTTATCATCTTTGATTATGACCACAGATGTTCCGAAGTGTTAGCCAGATGGGATTTTCGGAGTTCAATTCCACACAGCTGGTTTCGTAAAGTCAAACTCAAACGTTCCGCTTTGTTGTTCTAATTAAAATTATAGTCTTTGATCACAGAATAATTGTCTTACGATAATACAAGCCTTAGTGATGGTAACGTTTGACAAGCTATAATTGAAAATGAAAATTAAATCATTCTGATAATTTTTGTAACAAATAGTTATTTATGTTAAATAACTTCCAATTAAAACTTGTCATTCGTTTGTTAAAGCAGTAAAACAACGCATTCTTAAAAATATATGTTGATATTGCTGGACTACATTAAAAATATTTGTTTATGTTGCTGAACTATGTTAATTTTTAAAAGAACTGACAAAAATATAAAACAAAAATAATAAGCAGTAGAAGAACAAAAGAGAAACAAGCAGCAAAACACAACTAAATAAAACACACAGGAGGAATTCTGGAGCTGATCTAAATAAAGAGGGAGCGTGCATTTATTATAGAAAGGGTTTTCTGTAACAAGAACTATGTGATTAAAGACAAAAGAAATAAAGAAGGGAAAAAAGAAATTCATTCTGCGTACCTCCTTCTGTTGGGTCTAATCTTCGTGCACGTCGTCCATGTTTAGAGTTGTTATGGACAAACATGTTGTCGGAGACCGCCAGGATTGGACCCTCAATACTCACTGTCGTACATACAGCCACCTAAGATAGAAAGAAAAGGATGTAGAACAGAAAAAGTGGAGGTCAACTCATCTAATTTATTCTTCCTTTCCCAAATAAAAGCAATGATATAATAAATAAATTCTTAACAAATAAGATTGTAAAAACGTTTAACGTACAGGATTTTTAATTTAGAATTTGTAAACAGTAAATAATCATGAAAATTGTTAAATATACAAATGCTTTATACTGAAAAAATATATGATTGATAAGAACATTAAATAAATCTACATTATTGTGTTAAGAATTTCAAATCATTTCCATCAGATGGAATTATGTAAATATGTATTGTTTTACTTATTTTCGGGTATAAGATAGATGTATCGTTAAAGTGGATTGAATATTCATGTAATGAACCTTAATATTTGGTTAACGTTGTGAATTAATGATGCTGATATTGGCTTAATTAACCAAAACACCTCCCGTGTGGCACATCAGTAAACAAAGTTTGTTTACTCTTAGTACATAGACAGCTAATTAACGTCACTAACACTGCTGTTATTATTGCAATAAGATTTTATTTGTTTGTTCTAGGATTGAGAAGACATCATTCTTTACAAAATGTCACCGCTACATAATTCCAAAAGAGATTTGAAAAACGACATAAAAATCCCTCTGCGATACTCGCTAACAACCCTCCATTATTTTCTCCTAAGCCATTTCCCATTGAAGTTTAAGGCTTTTTCGTTTGGTAAACGGACTGTGCTTAAGCTTATTAGCCTCAATACGTTTCTGCTTAGGATTTTATGAAATGGAAACTCTCTAGTGGAAAATATGCGGAATAGCAGTTGCAATACACAAGAGATTATAAGGTGTATCGAAGAACCGTAATGGAGAAGCATCAGTTCATAGAAAAGCCCCTTTGCCATTAATAAAAATCTAGGATTAACTCTGAGAAATCCCGTCATCTTCCCAATAATCACTGGGTTTTGACAAGACTAATCCTCTCAGCTCTACTTAGGGTAATACTTAAACAAGCTTTATAATGTCTTCTTAGTTTAACGTAAATTGTAATTTGTAAATAATTCTATAAAATGTCATTTTCCTGAAAGACAGTCAACTTTTATTAACAATGGCGTTTGTTCTTCGCTTTGTTTTCTCATTATACACATGTATACTTTCACTGGATTTGTCAGATTCAACATTTTCAAATAAACAAATTGAGATTAAGTAAAACATGAATGCAACATATACGTCTGAGCAATATATGTATCATTTAAAACTTAAATAGATCTCAACATATAAGTAATCTCTAGAAACATTAAGGAAAAATTACCTGAAAGCGGCGCATATCTCGTGGATTACCAGCATTCTTCAGACAGTTTTGATTACATTTCATGAAGAATTTCAAGAAGAACCTACAAATATAAAAGTACATTAGATAAAGAACATATAAATACCCCTGGTCAAAGTAACGTTTAAAAAGACCTTTTAGTTAACCATGCTAACAAGATCCTGTAAAATATGACATTTGAAGACTGGTTCCTCCTAAGAAAATTATCCTGCTATTGTTATAGCTTTTGAATCTTTTCCTCGACTAAAATTTGACAACCAGTAATAGTTTCTACGGTATGTAACAGGCAAGTTATAGATAAATGGCAAGCACTGACAATAATTTTAGACCGAACGATGTAAAATATTTTTACACAGTAGGGAGAACATATACTTAAAGAGATCTTATTCAATTGTATATTTTATCATTCAATACTGAAGACTATAGTGCCACTATAAAATAAAAAGAATAAATGTACCAGAAATATGTAATTGATTGATAAGGAGGTTTGACATTCTATAAAATTCCAAGTCGATTTTTGACTTGAAAAAATGAATCAAAAGTAAGTTAACATTTCGCAAGATTCAGATATGACATTTTATTATTTGTTTTAGAACAAGAAAATGAATAAAGAGTTAAGCTCTTAGGGAAATAAAAAAAGGATAATTCAAGCTTAAAATTTCATTCGGTTGAAATGTAGATGAATAAATATGTCTTTTGTATCTGACAAACGAAACAAACAAAATGATCATGACAGGTGAATTAAATTGCCTTCAATAAAATAACAACGTTATTTTTAATTAAGAAGATGCTTTATAATTACATTTTCGTTATGAATATTGCATGTTACAATCAATAATTCAATGATAAAAATCAACAACTGAATATTAACAGCAACGTTTTTCATTTCATTATAACTCATCACCATGCATTTATCTCATCCATCGTCAATAAACAGGTCTCTAATATTATATTTGTTTCATATAACCACAATGGTTCTTGCTATTACAAGTCAACTATCTGCACAAGATTTAAAACAAAGTTCGAATAAACAAGAATAATGAGGAGAAACAAGAGCTGAAAATAACAAGTTGAATAAAAACAGATAACCCTATGGTCAAACGGAAATAAGACAAAACAGAAATACAAAGTATTGCCCATAAAACAACCCACAAAAAAAACTAAAAAAACTAAAACTAAAACCCAGCTAAAACGTTGGATTTACCAGGAGATTTCGAGGGGTATCTGCTTTACTGGTAGAACCCGAGAGGATGTTCTTGTCGACACTCAGAAATTATTGGGTAGATGACGGGATTTCTAAGAGTTAATCATATATTCTTATCAATGGCAACAGTCAGGTGTTAAGTCATATTCGGTGATTGAAAGGAGTGGGTATACTAAAGGCCCTTTACTGCCTAAAAATTGAAGGATACAACATGAAGTGGTCTCATTGATATTTATGTGTAAACATCAAACCGTAAGGAGTTTGATTTTTTTTAGATGTTGTGGTTGAATAAAAGAATGAGTTTGAATTTCAAAAAAAAAAACTTACGTGTTCTCTACGTTTGCAAGTCCAAAAACTAGGTAAAAATTGGCCAATTTATAACAAAAACGCATATATAGAAGGAAGGGTCTATGATTTTATGATCTCACAACTTCATTTGACATCACGGATCGTTAACTACCTGTTATTATTTGTATAACCTTATCTTTAAAATTGACAAAAATGAAATCATGAACTAAAGGTTCAAGTTTCAGTACAAAAAATGGTCCAATAAGGCCCTCATCACACTCTGTTCTACGAAGTAAGAATATGAAATCTGAAATCTTACAGTTGCGGTTAAAAAAAAAAACATTTCCAACACAACAAAAGCATACCAATTTATTCTCATTTGACACGAATCAGCTAGAATACAATCGAAATAATGGAATATGTTATAAGTAGAAAATAAGCTTTAAATCTAACAAACAAACACCCTAGATTGTAGAATACCATTATCTATGCTATACAAGCCTTCATTTTGTTTACTAGAACAAAGTATAGTATAAAAACAAAAGGATATACATTATTTAAAAGTAGAGTGAAATGTATTGAAAACCACTTTACGAACAGTTTACCTGACAAAGAACTATATATCGATCTGTTTAATGTGGAAGAATATTATTTCCAGCATGGCTGGTTTTGATTGACGGCTCAGTAATGTTGCAGCCGCCCCATTTATGCCAATCGGAAACGGTTTACATCGACAATCATCTAATGATATTTGGTTTTAAGTGAATACGGAAATGTTTCGGATATCACAGATTACTGATTGAATTAGTTTGATAATCGATTTTAAAATAAGAGTTTCCGATCTACAACTATTGAAAACGAGCATGAATAAAAACAATGATAGAAGTGATTATAAAACACGAAATCGGATGCTGGAAACGTCAAAAGTATCATAATCCCATTCATAAAACGTCGAGCTTCGCTAGTCGATAACGCGAAAGAAAACAATATTTAATCATAGTATTTTATTAACTGAAATGATAGAGAGAAAACCTAATGTCGAAATTCCGACTATGGGAGCAGAAAAATTAATCTAGCCCTTTATTACTCAGTAACATTCAATATTAATGTACGAAAATTTTAATTAATTAATCTAGAAAAACACAATGGGTTCTTTCTGCTGCAAAAGCAGTCTTTCTTATTGTTTCAAATGGTCCACAGGCAGAAAATTTGTATAGGGATGTACCAGTGGCACCGGAAGTACTTATTGTTATATAGCTTCAATTTAGAACCTTTATATTCTACAGCATGACGATTTCCGGAATTGTATTGATCATTTAATCAAGCACAAAGATCAACTTAATATTGATACCAGTTGATTAGGTGAATGATGTAAATTTCGTTAAATGAATAATGCCCCTCTAGAGACGCCGAATTGCATCAGGAACTTTTGGCCGATAGGGTCAACGTATTAACCATAAAGCTGGAATGATCTATTAGAATGCGAACAGGCAAAAAGTTTTACACCTTGACGATCCCATGGAAAATTAAATTTGAACCACTGTCAGTTATGGTCAAGTGTGAAGAAATCGATGACATTGTTGGTGATTCTAGTCGCCGTCTAAGTGTATTATCACATATGCTTAATTTCATACAAGTCAACACAGAATTGTTTCTTGTGTCAAATTAGTAAGAGCAATTGTACTTTCTTTTTAGTTTTGCATGGAAAGTTGATTATACCATTGGAATAGCACTTCTAAACGCCAATGCATCAATGAGTACTAAGATGACATACATAGACCATATACTTATGTGAAAGTTTATATATGGCAAATCTAACTGATTTTTGAATTACTTTATGTACGAAAGAACATCATACAATATACATGAATAAGAATAAAGGTAACTTTTGCATATCTTAAATCAAACAAGCAGTATTTGAAAGACACTACCCAAAATGTAAGCAACTTAAGGAGGTGGTTACCCTTATTTATACTTATAAAGAATATTCACAATCACTAAAGATCACCTCGAAAATGTAGTAAGGAAAGACCATTAAAAGTTTTATTTGGGAAATGTTTTAAACTTTAAGGAATATAGGCAGATACATGCAAGAAATTAATTTGGTTTTACTATTTTTCTGTATTAAAAAAAGTACAATATGCGGCATGCAGTTAGACTTTCTGTAAAAACATTTTACAACTGTTGCTTATTATATACATAAAAAGGAGATGTGAAAAATACGTCAAGGAGACAGCAAGTCAACCATATACATATAACCATATACATATACAAGATTTCTAGAGGTCAATATACATACAGTATTCAACAAAAGACAGGTGTCATTACGTATGCTCTAAATAGCATCATATTTTCCTTCCGAATAGATTTAACAGAGACTATCAAAGTTTACCAATTAACATAACATTATCAAAGTAACAAAAAAAAAACATTACAAAATACATCCACCGACGAGGTTTCGTAATTTGATATAAACTTGAGGCGGGGTTAAACTTTTTTTGTGTTTCTTGTTTGGTGTTGAGTATGGTCGAAGAAATCAGCAGAAGTGATGGAAATTGCAAACCAAAAATACAAACAAAAGTTTAAAAAAATAGATTTTACTAATAAATAGATAAATAGATATAAAATACTAAATCCCTGGGATGTGTTTTAATTGATTTTAGTCTCTGATGCATGATTTTTTATTATTGTTTTGGCTTTTAACTAGCTGTCAGTAACTGCGAGTACTCTCAAATCGTACTTTCTTGTTTATTTGACCTGTTGATACTAATTGTATTGCTTTTTTGTTATTTAATGTTATTCAGGGTTATATCTGGTCTATACCAGCTTTTATTAGTGTTTGGTATTACTATAAATTTTCACTTCGTACTATTAACATCAAAATTATTTATTTTGTAAAAATATTTCCTTTCTCTATTGGAACTGTATACGTATACCTAACTACAAAATTATTTTCATTTACCTGTGTTTAAAGTTATTGCAAACGGCTGATATTTTTGTTCGAGCAGATTGTTTTTCTTTAATTGTTTAACATTTCATACCGATATAACATGTTACTTTTATTATTCTTCCCTTAGTTTATTTATTTTGTATTTACATTGTATCATAGGTCAAATTTATTTGTTCGGTGTATGTTCAATAGTGTTAATATGTCCTTTGATTGAGTTAAGCTATTTCAGTTGATATTTTATAGTGTGTCTTTCTATGTTGTGATGTTATACTATTGTTTCAGAAAAAGGGTGAAGGTTTGGTACCATTAAAACGTTTAAACCCGCTGCATTTGTTTGCACCTGTCCTAAGTCAGGAATCTGATGTTCAGTAGTTGTCGTTTGTTGATGTGGTTCATAAGTGTTTCTCGTTTCTCGTTTTTTTATATAGATTAGACCGTTGGTTTTCCCGTTTGAATGGTTTTACACTAGTAATTTTGGGGGCCCTTTATAGCTTACTGTTCGGTGTGAGCCAAGGCTCCGTGTTGAAGACCGTACTGTGACCTATAATGGTTTACTTTTATAAATTTTGACTTGGATGGAGAGTTGTCTCATTGGCACTCATACCAAACTTCTTATATCTAA